AAAAGAGGGACAGAGAGTTTAAAGAAATAACAGAGAACTTTCCAAACCTAGGGATATACTTGGACAACCAAATTCAAGAAGCTAGTAGATCATCCTATTATCTCTATGTAAAAAGACCTTCTCCAATTCACATTATAATGAAACTATCAAAAAAAAAAAGGATAAAGAGAGAATCCTAAAAGCATCCAAAGGAAAAAAGATTGTAATCTACAAAAGAATGCCCATTAGGCTATCAGTAGATTTTTAAGCAGAAACTCTACAAGCCAGGAGAGAGTGGAATGACATATCCCAAGTGTTGAAAGAAAAAAAACTGCCAACCAAGAATACTCTACCCAGAAAAGTTATCCTTCAGAATATTATGTTAAGTAAGATGAGTCAGACAGGGAAGACAAATACTGTATATCACTTAGATGTGGAATCTAAGAAAGCTGAACTCGTAAAAACAGAGAGTAGAATGGTGACCACCACGGGCTGGGGGATTGGGGAATGCGAGATATTGTTTAAGGGTACAACTTGCAACTAGTAGATAAATAGTCCCGGAGATCTAATGCACAGCATAGTGATTATAGTCAACAACACTGTACTGTTGTGTTGATATAAATACAGTAAGTTTACGTAATAAACTTCAAAGTTGCTAAGAGATAAGATTTTAGTTGTTCTCACCATAAAAAGAAATGATAATTAAGTGATGTGATAAGTATTAGCTAACACTATGGGGGTAATCATATTTCAATATATAAATGTACCAAATCAACACAGTGTACACCTTAAACTTATACAACATTATATGTCTATTACATCTCAATTTTTTAAGAACAGAAAAATTTCCCTTACCTACTGATTATCTTTTAGGAAATATTCCAGCCTCCCTCTCCTTTTCAGTTGTGAGGCTATGACCAACCATTAAGAACCAAACCACACTATGCACTCACAACATACTCCCTTCTCCTTCCTATCTTTTTCCTCTCTTCTTCTCCCACTGTCACTCATGTTCCTTTCATGGCCACCCAGCTACCAATTCAAGACCAGCAGCCTGACCCATGCAACCCAATCCAAGAATAATCAGACACTTGGCGCTAAGTCACCTGAATTTTACTTGGAAAAAAATGCAAATGGGTCAATTTGCTTAATTTTCCTAAGTGACAACTCTATTCTAGGCCAGTGACAAGGGCAACTTCAAGTCTGCTATCTTTTTAGATTCACAACCAAGAGGAAACACCAACAGTCACCCCTGGAGTCACTGTAAGGCATGGACTAAAGTGAATATTGTGATTGCCTGTCCCACATTCATTTCACTCCTCGCCTACTGAAAACAGCACTGCAGCTTACTGACCTGTCAGCTCATGGGTGGGCCTGGCTGATCAGAGGATAATCCCAAGTGACTGATTCAGGAATGGGCCTGTGACCCAATTCTGGACTACAAAAAAACGCATGCAGCCAAATCCAGACACCATCAGTACTCTGGTAACAGCTATCTGACTTCTACTTTGAAATAAAAAAATGCAAGTAACTTGTGAGAAGGTTTTGACGGAACAAATGTGTCTCTCAAGCTGGATATGTACAAGAAAGCAACCACCCGTTGTTATGGCAGCAACCTACAATCCAACCAAGAAAGAAGATGCCATAGATAAAAGCTAACACACAGAAGAGGGCACAGCTGAGACTTACAGAGAAACAGAGCCTGAATATGCCCAACACAGCAAAATGAACTATGCCCAGCCTCCTATTCTATTCTATTCTAAATGAACAATATTCCTTAACACTAAAGCCAGATTGAATCAGGTTCTTTACTTGCAGCCAAAAGCCCTAATACACTGGTATTATTTTTATAATGAGAAAAAAAATACGTATTTAAAATATCAATGAATAAAAAGAAGACAAATAAATACAGGTCATGCTCAATGAGAGCTTACCAGAAAAATAATAGATGATTCTCCCTACAACCTTTTGCTAATATTAACACATATACCTTCTCCTCATATGTGTTCCCCCCCCCCCATGGTTTCAACCTGCATCACTCTATCTCCACTTCCATCATCACATCACCTCCATTTTCTTGCCACTCTCTGATAAGGATCCAGGTGATTACATTGGGCCCACTCAGATCATCCTGGATAATATCCCTATCTCAAGATCCTTAACTTAATCTTGTCTGCACAATCTCTTTTATCAGATAGGTTAACATATTTGCAGGTTCTGGGAATTGAAACATTGACATCTTTGGAGGGCTTACTCAGCCTACTATATATACCAACATGACAACAAATCCTTTAAATTCAGAGACTTTTAGAAATTCACAAATCTGTGAATTCACTGTAGTAATTGTTCTATTCACAATCATCTAACTAGGGAGGTTTTGCTTGTTCGTGGGTTTTATTTGTTCCTCTACTCATCTAACTGAATTTGGCTAAATCTTAGGAAATACAGGGATTTTTGTGTGATACATTTGAGATGGGGAAGATGAGATGTCTTGGGATTTGTATTTTTTAAAAGCCCCATGAATTATTTTCAATTTAATCAAATTTCATTTAAAAATATTTACTAATGTTTTAGAGGCTGAAAAAATTAAAATATCTAACCACATTTTATGTTGGAAAACTAAAAATTTAATAGTCATGACAAACGAAGTATTTCTTAAACTGCAAAAATCTCCGTACATACAATATGAAGGAGACTAACTTAAAGCATGAGATAAGGAAACAAAAATGTGAAGGAGACCTGTTACCAATGGAAAGAATACTTGCCATGTTTAGCATTGTTTGGTTTGTTTATCTTAACCAACTCTGAATTTGGCACATCTGAAAATGCTTTCTCTCCCCTCACCACCTGTGAAGGTTAATCTTCGTATGTGATATTTTTAATTAAAATTGAGCCTGTGCTTTTTAGAAAATGCTTGGATACTCTAATTGCAAGAAGAGTATAGTCAGGATCAGAAGCACAGGATGAAACAAAGGTAAAGGATGGGAGACTGCCAGGTTTCAGAGCCTTTCCCACTCCCTACTCCTCACCCCAAGCCTCTATCAGTTATCATAACAGTAATAAACTGAACAACCTAAAAATCATGACAATATTGTCAGCCTGGACAAGATAACCTCTTTAGACAAGAGAAAACATTTCACCACCAAAAGATTTATTTATTATTTTCTATATCAAAATTGTCCTCCATCATTTATTACTGCTACCTCCCTTCTCCATTATTGTTCAGTTTATGTCTGTGCAGGTAACTAGAGGTGCTGTTAGCTGACATTCAGTCCAGAAGTTTCCAAGAACTGAAGCAGGACCATTAGGGAAATTCCTAACAATAATTCCTAACATGCATTCACGACTCTGGTCTACTCTCTCAAGTCTCTCTATCTCCCTTTTCTCTCCCTTCACCCATCCTACACTAACAACTATCTTCTCTGTTCTTACACCCAGGCTGTTGAACGTGGTGAACAAAACATAACCCTCACAAAGCCAACATAGGTGAGTGCCGATTGGTCTCGAAAGTCATTACCCCTCTTACTATCCTGCAAGGTCAGCACCATCTCCCACCCCTGTTCTTTCAAGCCCCTATGTACAGACCTCCTGGCCTTCACCCTCCCTTCATCTTCTACCTCCTCCACAGGCAGGAACTCCCCCAGAGTCTTAGCTTCCAGCAGCAAATATATCTACATCGCCAACCATCATGACATCCTTTCCTCTTAGGTCAGAGGAAGAAGCATGGCTCCTCCAACATAATTAATGATGAAATGATAACAAGAACATTCATGAGTACAATGTCCCTTATCCTACAGTTACATGCTCCATTTGTGCTCTGGATCCCATCCTCTCCTCCCCACCTTGGTCCAGTAATCCTCCTCTCCAGCTTTTCTACTCTTTCTCCCAAATTCACTGCAAGAGAAACAGTGAGATTTACCTTCCACCTGAAACACTGGACATCAGACAACAAAAGAAAATGATGCCTGAAAGATGGGAAATAAAGGCAGTATCCCCATGATTGAATGCCCTTTGCCTACAGCCTTGAGAGCATCTCCAGGCTGCAGCATAAGGAGGGGAACCCAGGTGGAGCCTGGTGAACTTGAGATGGGGCTGGGAGTCTTAAAGGGCAAGCTGACCAGAATCCACAGAGCAGAGTAACAGGAGGAGAGAGCAGCACAGAGAGAACTCAGGAGATCTACAGAGGGTTCCGCTCCAATATTCAGCAGAGTAGTAAAGAGCGTGTGTGTGTAAAGAAACTCCTAGAGGCTGGCGAAAGAACCACCTGAATGCAGGAAAGAGAACAGTAAACTGAGCTCCCACAGGGCCAGGATGTTTAGGGGACACAATCAATCAGTCTACCGATAAATCCAGTAAGCAAAGAAATACCATCATGAAGTTGGACCTGTAACCTGAGAAGTATCACAAGCCAACAAAATAAAAGGGGCAGCATCATTTTATACAGAAACTACTCCATAGCTTTTGGTGATGTGTGTGTTCATGCAGGGAATGGCAGAGAGGGGGGAAGGGGACTACTACTAAGGGCCTTCTTAGTGCCAGGCACTTGTGAGGGTTCAATAAGACACAGCCCCTGCCCCTGAGTTCCACACAGTAGTCCTCAAAACAGACCCATTGTCAACTCCTGCCCCTGAAATACTCCTTCGACTTCTGCCAGGAGTGAGCTAAAAGGTCCCCTCCTTGAAAGGGCTTTCCTTCACCACTCTAAAGGTACTCGAGGGTAACCCACTTTCCTTTCGCTACAGCACTTCTCACTTACTATTACTACATTATAGATTATGATTACTTATTACTCTTATTTTCTCCCATGCACATTTGGAATATGAGCTCCACAGTGAAGAAACCACTGCACCCTTGGTGACTAGCACAGTATATAACCACTGAAGGCACTCAAATACTTATTAAAAGAAAACAAGAACTATGACTGGGATGAGTTTCCTGATGATCAACATTTTCTAGGCTAGTTAGCCCCAAATCCCTAGATTTGGTTCCCTTAGTCATGAAGGAGTATGCTGAGTACTCACCTCTACCTGAGTAACATTGATGACCAGCACCACCACCATCAATACTGCAAGCAAACAGCAGAAAAGCCGCAGATTAAAGAAATTGATCCACATTGTCCGGCTGTGTCTTGATCACCCATGGCCGACACCATGCTCCCTTCACTCCTCAAAACTCCATGTCTTTGTTTTTGGGAGCTGCAGAAGAGCTTTCAGTTTAATTTGCTTTTTTTTGGGCTAGTATCCGTAAGAGTTCTTTGCATAGAAGAACAGCTGGGGTTGATTCAAGCAGCACATTTTTCTCCAAAGGACTCCTTCAAAAAGGGGAGATGAGAAAACAGATCACCAATTACAATAGCCTAGGGTGGAGTAAAAGGAAAGTCATCACATTTCCTTTTTGTTAACCTTATCGAAGCTCAAAGTCATGAAGAGAAAGCAAAGGGCCAGAGCACAGTAACATCTCTTCCATACCTGGACAATCTACTCAAACCCAACTCCCGGCTTCCGTGGAGGGCAGGGTGGAGAGGTCATGGTGAAAAGGGTGCATAACCATGGTGCAGAGGATCTCTAGAACACCTCAGCTGCACCAGCCCTCCCTGCAGTTTTGGGTTGGGTCCCGCAAGCCCCCTGTTCCCTCACTCCTCTGCTCTTCTGGTCTAATCCATCCCCGGGCCCCACGACCCATACCACAAGGACCACGACGATCCTTCCCCACCCCAGCTTCATAAGGGGGACAAGGCTAAGCAATTTCAACACGCTTTCCACCCTCAGAATCCCCACAGCACTCACTTTTTCCTCTTCTCAGCTGATCTTTACATTTGTGGGTATTTCTTGTCTCTACAACTACAGTATACCAATTAAGACTATATTAAAAAAAAAAACAACCAGAAACTATAGATCTGAGAAAAGCAACTTAATTGTAATAACATATCATACTTTTTAATCCCCTCTCAGTACCTAGCTCTTTACATGATATATACTGATTCAACGGTCCACACAACCAGTAATTATGGAGGCCTCCTCTGTACCAGGTGCTGTACTAAGTGCAAAGCTCACACTCCTATGAGGCAAGAGGCATTTCCCCCCTAAATTAAAGAGGAATACCTCCCCCACTCCTGCTCACCTCCACAGGGCCGCCAGGTAGTGTGACAGACTGCACTCAACCATCTCATGGCCCCCCAACGCTACCCTTCTCCAACACCCAGGTACCTACCCACCCTGAAGTGCCTGTAAATTCTAGGAAGGGAATGGTTGTGAAATAGAGGAAATAATTCTGCCACCAAGTCCCCAGCTGCTCCTCTGTAGAAACCTTTCTCAAGAAGTTGGCCACAAGAACCATAGGTTTCCCTGATGGCCAGAGAGAGAAGACCGAAGATGATACTCCACAGGAATTCGGTTGCACCATGGTAGGCATGGTCTACATACTGTGTGAAGGCCAGCAATTCAGAAGACATCAGCGTGGGCAGAGCCGGTCAGCAGCAGCAGAGCAACGGGCAGTGGTGCAGATGGACGGCAGGGCAGCAGACCCCACAGCTACAGGAATGATAGGGCTATAGCACGAATGCAAATATGCAAGAAGCCCCTCACAGTCAGGGACTTCTACTGAAAATTGTTACAGAGGGTCATGTCAGGAAAAGATCGGACTTCCTGCTACAAGCTAGTAGAACACTGAGATTAGAAAGACCCACCTATATGACCTGCCGTTACTAGACAGACCTGTCTTTGAAAAGACATATACTAAAATGCAGGTACTTGTCACCTCTGGGCAGGTTTTGTTTTTCTCCTTCATCTTCACCAGGAAATAAAAATCACAAATTTAAGGATAAAGCCAGTTTCTAAAAGTAATAATTAAAGACGAACCATAAACAGAAATCATGTTCCCATTGGGCATGGGAAAACAATTTAAAATGGAATCTTTAAAATGAAAGATTTCAAACTGAAAAAAGAAATCTGTAACAGATTTCTGACTTTTTTCCTACAAATATAAAACCTAGGCATTATAACAAGAAGTCTACTTGCAAGGAGAGCAGGAGAATAACACTGGGTATCTCAAAATGCCATGGAACTGAGTGAGAACAATAGTGCTAGATACGAACAACTCCAAAACAAGTTTTCTAGATCAACCCAAAAATAAAAATATGTAATTGAATTTCATTTACCTTTTTTTAAAAACAGTCCAGTTCCCAAGATGTTTATTAGAACTAAAAAATTCGAGTTTACTTTCCTTCCAGTGCAAAGTCTGAATTCAAGCAATCATGATAGCCCTTATTCTTTTCTCGTCACATTTGAAGCAGCACATGTTGATGTTTTTCATTTTTATACCATTCTTCCTGCTGCAACAGAGGTAAGCACATGAAATACAAGTTAAAGATACAGAAAATGAAGTAAAGGAAAATACATTTGAAACCAAGAATACAATTTTATAGCAAAGAGATGTACATAGATGTCAGTACAAAGTAGTGAGAGGAGTGAGGATAGGAACATTTCCTTTCCTAGTAACAAAAACAGTAGCTAGTTATTTATATTCATGAACTTAAACATAGCAGATCTGAGCTGAAAGGTCAAAAGCCTTATAAATAGCAATATGACTGGGAAAAAAATAAACCAAATATAAAAGTTCCATATGTTACTTTTCTTATAGACTAGAATAATCATGTAGTTCAATGATCCACCCTACTCCTAGAGGAAACAAGAGGTACCAGATACACCTAAAAGTTACAATCAATCCATGAGGAATCTCAACTTCAACAGTCTTGTTTTCAAATCTTTCTTAAGTGTTAGTACACCACTCATTCTTGCTTCATATTTATGCTCAAAGAGCAAGGAAAAAATCAGAATGCGTGGTCTTTTGGGTTTGTTTTGCCAAATTTTGGCTAAGACTATTTAACAGCCAATCTAAATTCTTTATAGTCTGTGGTGACAACCAAAACTACTCTTAGGTACCTGACTTCTTACCCCCATCTCACAAGAGAATTACAAAGTGATTGCTCACACCACTTGGAATTATAATTGTCAGTACACAAATGAAATACTTGAGTTTGGTACTAAAAAGAAAAACAGGCAGCAACCCCATCCTCTGGAGGGCTAATAGTCTTAGAAAACCATTTCACAAAAACAATACACTATTGAACAACCACACATTCAGTTTGTGGGACAGTCCCCATCCAAAATACTCTGACTTGCTATCCACATAAATATAATTGTACTTGTCAGAGAAAGTATCTGGAATTTTAGTTCAGAATACAAAGACCCCTACATCAAAGACAAAAGCACAGATTTATATGGAATATACCCAAACTTAAATGCTCCTATCTCAAACTTTCCAAAGAGCAGCTGTATTTCATAGGGTGCTAAGACTTTGAAACTTAACAAGGCAACATCTAGGGAAAGAGCTGGAGACTCATCCAAGACCATAACAATGATGGGTTAACTAAATAAGAGCAATCCTTGTACAAAGTTGAAGCAGGGACAAAAGTCTGCACAGGGACTGAAGTCTGCAGGACTGTTTCCCCAGATTCCATTCCATTTCTCTTTCATGTACCCCCACCTCACATGCCCAAAATGCTGACTCACCTAGGCCTTCGCTTCTCCTTCTTTTAAAGTAGCACCCCATGCTTTCATAATGCCAGGGGAGGGGGAGGAGTAGGGTAGAGAAGTAAACAAATCAGTTAAATAAGTCACAAAGCAGTAAGTGCTTTAAGAAAAAAATAGGACATGGAGATAGGCATGATCTTTAACCTTACATGCACATTAGTATTGTCCCAGAAGCCTATAAAAATTCCACTGCTTGGACTACACTCAACCAACTGGACCAGAATCTAGGGGAATAGGGGCCAAGAAACAGCTTTTTTTAAGGTCTATAGATGATAATATACAGCCATGTAGGAGAACCACGGGTACAGAGTGGCCAGAGGGTGTTATTTGTATAAATAGGCCAGGGATGGTCTCTCTGAAAGGATGTTTAGAATTGTAACTTACATTGTCCCTCCAGGACAATCCGATTCTGGGGCAATGGGGACAGCCAATCCTACTTCAGTGATCTATCCCTGTTTCCTTTCTCAGTAACAAATAACAGCACTGTTATCAGGCCCAAAGAGATTGTGAGGATAACAGACACAGAGAGAAGATATTAAACACAGTCAAAAGAAAGCCGAACCCAAACACAATGGAAGAATAGTGTGCTGCCCCCTCCGCTGCGTGGATTGAGACTATTAATTATCAGGGTCTGGGAGTGCCGCCAGCTTCAAGGACACCCTGATGTTCCAAATGATAATTAACCACAATGAGGAGAGGGTAGGCCCATCAGAGCAGCGTGATACTTTATCTATCGGAAATGTGGCAACGGTCCTTCTTTACAGCAAATAATGAAAAACAAGAAAAATTATACAGACAGACAATTACACATTTTGTATAAATCCTGCCTGAGAACCCCTGTTACCATAAGCTTAGTGGTCTCTTATCAAGTAGAGATGAGCGGCAGGCCAGGCAAGGTCTCCACATCACTCCTTGTAAAGTCACACTCGTTTCTCCCCATTCGACCTGAATCTGATGTCCCAAAAGTACATCTCCGTGAGACCACAACAGTTCAACGTGTGAAAGGACCGCCACCCTAGAGGTGGCTGGGGCCCGGAGAGCGATGAGACTGGGAATGAGGTCTGAGGAGGGAGGCGTTGCCAACTGCCCCGAAGACGGTTAGAAAATGTGTGAGGGGGAGGGGTCTTTAGCTGCCCCGAGGTCCTGGCTCTGCCGCGTTGCGACTGCACCTGCGGCGTTGCAGCAAGTCGAGAAAACTGAGGATGGAGATGCTCGCGCCCAGCCCCGCCCCCTCCCTGCCGGGACCAGCCGCGGCTCGGGGACTCCGGTCCTAGGCAGTCGTGGACTCCAACTCTGCCCTGCCTTGGGCCGGAGCCTCCTGTTCCAGACTCGGGTGGCCCCTGTCATTGCCCCCCGGAGCTGCAGCTCCCCAGCACCGGGCCGGGGGCTCGGGAGCCGGCGCGCAGAGAAAGGGGCTTCGCAGCCGAGAAGGGCGCGCGAGGAGCAATGGTTCGCTCGGGAGGAAGGAGCTGGGCCCGGGGCCCGCGCACACCCACCGGCCCGCACTCACCTCCAGGTCTCGCCTCCCGCCGCGCGCTCTCCTACGGCCGAAGCCCAGGACTTCCTGGCCCGAAACCACTGACCAGGCCGCCAGGCGGGGCTGTCTGGTCCCGCTGCGTCGCCTCACCCCGGACCCCCGGCTACGATTGGTTGAGCTGTGGGAGGGGCGGGCCGAGGACGCTGACTGACAGCCGCAGGCGCCGAGCGCTGAGCGTCAAGCCCCAAGTCGAGGACGCTGAGTTGGCGCCCCTCGGCTCCGCGCTGTCTGGCTCCCGCGTGCGAGGGGATCATGCAGCTGTCACCCTGTGGACTGAACTCTGTCCCCTATCGGGAGCCGACTCCTGTTGCCTTCAGACATCAGGGTCTCCCCAGGGAGCATCTGTTTCAGAGCTTTTTTCATCTCAGCGAAAGTAAGCAAACCGGAGGATTCCCCAACTTGGGCCGTCTTTCCTCCCAGTGGAGGAATGTATTGTTCGCTGTACCGGAAAAACATGATTTGCCAAACTCGAGCACCTAGCCGGCAGGTCCTTGAATCTTTCCTTACTTGAAAGTAGTCGACTTATTGTGTTGGTCCTTAAAACAACCCCGTTCCTTTTACCATCCCTGTTCCTGACATGAGTCTTCGAGACTGAATACTTTCCCTACCCTACCCTCGCCCCCAAATTCTGTGTAATGCTATTGGACATTCTTCTTAGTGGTCCGGAGCAGCTGTGTGAAATTCAGGAACTGAGAGGAGTCCTTCAAAGACAGAAGCCCTTGTTCAGAAAACCAGAAGGGAAGACAGGGCTGCTCTGTGTTCCCCAGCGCTGGGAGCATGGCGGGGTTAATCGAATTTATCCCAGCAAAACGCAGGCTCCAAAAGTAGACTGCCCCAGACTATTATCTGAAGGCTGAAGAAGAATAACGAATATAAATTACAACTAACATTAATTATTTTTACATTTAATGACCACAATGGACTCTACGTTCTCATTCCGAAGTTTTCATGGCAGGACATTCATAAGTGACCTGTGGAATACAAGGAGGTTCTACATAAGGCAGTCTTTTCTGGAATATCATTTCATTCTTTCTCAAGGATCAGCCTTTTGTACTAATATGAAGTGGTTTCCATTGCCTCTGTGCCCATATGATTGCCTGCTGTTCTGTTTAAGTCTTATCTTCCAGTAGGTGGACTCCCTCCCTCTTGTCTTTCAATTTGGCTGTCATGCACATGGCAAATACTTAGGACATAATTATTTCTAGCCATGGTTTTGGACCACATTAGTGATCCTTATTAACCCTCATTCACACAGGTATTCAGAACCCTCTGGCTTTTGAGTGATCTTATTTATATTTTACAGTCATTATAGACACAAGAGTGGCTGGGTCTAGAGATGTCTGTTCATCACTAACAGCTTCTTAAAAGATCTCTGACTACAAAGTCACCACACTCCCACTGCAGAAATACTGTACAAAGAATATTCGCATTGGATCCTAGCCTGACTGAGTCTAATCCACAGCTTTGTCTCTTGCTAGCAGTGCCATCCTAGGCAAATTATTTAACTTCTCTGAGCTCATTTCCTCAACTGTAAATTAGGGGCAACATTACCTGCTCTTGGGAATAAATGAGAAGACAAGTGAAAAGCATCTAGTACACTGCCCAAATCTCTTCCTCTTGAATTCTCTATCTCAGATTATGACATAGCATAAGGAATTTCTAAATGTGTCATTTATGATAACCTACTTTTGAGCTGGAAAAAAAATAAGAACATAAGGTTTGTATGTTATGATATGAAACTAAAAGAACTGGTCATTTTTGACCTGTCTGTAGAAATAGTTTAGGTACTTATGTTACTAAACTTCATTTCACTAAGCAAAACAAAGAATGGCTCCTAAGGTTAGATAAACAAAAGCAAATTATGCTTGTTTCTGATGTCGCTAACTTGAGGGATATTCACCAGCAAATGTGGCTCCGTCTCTGATGGCAGAAGCTTGGGGCATGAGCACTCCTGAGCCCACGTCAGCTGCTGATTAAGATCCTTGGCTTCCTCCTTTTAAATACAT